TAGGGGACGTTTTCCTCAAGTTTCCTGTGCCCTCGCCTCGTCATGTTTGAGCTGTCCAGCTATGTCAGAGCAATGGCACTGGTCGCGGTTGTTTTCTGGGCAGCTGGGCGTCCTGCGAGCCTTTTCAGCCGCAGACACGTTATAGCGAAACTGCCTGCTGTGTTCCCTGAGAAGGCTGAGAGAGCAATGCTGCCACCAAGTGGTGCTGCAACTTCAACAGCCACAACGACGCCAGCAACACCTGCAACGCTTGCGACACTAGCAACACCAGCAAAGCCAACACCAACACCACCAACACCACCAACACCAGCACCAAAGCCAACACCAACAACACCATGGACGCCAAGGGCGCCAAGGACAACGACAACAACGACAACAACAACAACGACGGCAACGACAACAACGACAACGACGACAACGACGACAACAACGACAACGACAAATGTCAGCGGCAGTGCACACGTTGCAACAGTGCATCGTTCTTCTCGCTTTGCAAATGTCAGCGGCAGCGCGCAGCTTTCCCCATCGCTGCCGCAGCACGCTCCGGATGCGGCTTTTGCTGCAGAGGAAGATTTGCGGTACTTCGATCACTTCCAGCGTGTCTTGAAGCGGTACAGTTCACATTCGCCATATTCGCCTGTGTTTTGGATCGAGCCTTCCTTCTCCTGCCCAACTGAAGACCTGGTCAGCGGGGATATGTGGTGGTGCAAAGGCTTGCTAGATGCGAAGCAAGCTGGCCGAACTTGCGTGGTTTATGACTTCGGCAGTCATGGATTTGACCAGCTTGAGCAAAATATGAGTCGACTTGCGACTTGTGAGGTCCACACTTTTCGCCAAAGCTGGTTGAGCAGCAGTGGCAGTTTGAAGCACCCGTATACCATTGGTCCAACTGACAGCGAGCAAGCCCACACAAATGCTTCAACTCGAATGAAGCGACTCAGCACCATCATGAGAGAGCTCGGGCACGATGTCGCAGACGTCATCAGGATCGATGCGCAAGGGTTAGAGTTCCAGATCATCCATGACATGGCTCTGACCAACTCCATTCGAGCAGTTCGGGAGATGCAAATTGAGGTGCACAGGGGAGACGGACAAGATAAGCAAGTTTGGGATATGATGGACATCCTTAACAGCCACGGGATGGTGGTGTTTCACAAGGAGAATATCGCGAGAAGCACCAAGGCGGCTAACTACGCTGTGATGCATGTGGCTCCACGTCCTGACTTGTTGCGACCTCGGCAGGCTCTGTCTCCATCCGGCGCTGAAGCGCCAGACTTCTTCTCAGAGTATGCGCATCTGCACAAGACAGAGCGCGTGATATGCGGTCGAATACTTGTGTTCGACTGCAATTTGGTGACTGATTGTGGTGGTCTCGCTGATCGTATCACAGGTACGGTAACAGCAGCGATGGTGTCCATTCTCACGAATCGTTCCTTCGTCCTGCACCAAGACTATTTTGACGAGTCTTTCCAGCCAGCCAACCCAGATGTGGACTGGCGTTGGAGCAAGGAGCTGGAGAATTGTACCCGCGACAGCGGTCCAGTGTTTCGGTTTGTGAACAAAGACAATGCTTGGAACGACTTTCTGGAGCACTTCGGTGATCGCCCCATCGTCCGCGTGCAATCCAATAGGGGGTTTTTGCATGGGCTGCTGGACCATCCTAGGTTCCGCCAGCAGCTTGCCAAATGGGGACTCACCAAGTGCAACATATTTGGACGAATCTTCGACGGCCTTTTCAAGCCCACCCAGGCTTTGACAAGCACGGTGCAGAAGTTCCTGCAGTTGCATGGAGATTTGGGTGAGAAGCCTACTTTGACCGTGGGAATGCATTTCAGAATGGGCGACGGGTCCTTTGACCCTAGAGTGGCTGCTCTTGCAGTTGGTCGTGACGTGATTAACTTCTGGGACCTCACGTTCAAGTGCGCACAGAGCGCTACCTCTGCAGCAGTCGCGTTGTGGGGGGCACCAGTGAAGGTGCAGCACATCCCGTGTTACCCCAACTGTTGCAGTTATAGCACTAGCCAAGTCGAACGCACAGGATTGTTCAGGTGTTTTTTAGATGGCTCCGCAACTACTCAAGTCAATTATTGCAGTAGTGACACAAAATGTGGAAGAAGGTGACTGTACCCGAGTGATACTGGCAGGCTAAGCGCTTAGAGAGATGTTAAGTTATTTACTTACCGAAGTCTGGGATGGGAACCATGCCATCAAATCGAAGGCTGTGCCGATTGTACTTCAGGTGGATGGGCAAGGACCTTGCTAGGGGCCGTCAGTATGAAACTCAGCACTGAGAGTCGCGCAATTGCATGCCTGTGGTATGGTAGGAGCTGCACAAGATGTGTGAACCACGAGGTGTGTTTGTTGTGGATCGTGCGTTTGTCCTTACTGGATGTATAAGTTTGTGATGCTTTCAGGTTACCTCCTCAGAGAGTGGAGCGATTAAAGTGGAGCGACCGAAGACCAAGCGCGAAGTGAAAGAAGAGTAGAATGAATGAAGCTCGGGCGAGATAATTGCGGAAGTAAAACAGGTTGACATTGGAAAAGAGTGATGCAAAGCATCTTTCACTCTCACTTTCTGGCACTCTCCACTCCTTCCGGAGCCTCACCCGACGATTCCGCATCCACACCTCTACCTTGGAAAGGCGAACTGAAATGCAATCGCTTGCCATCCTTGGGGTTCTTGTGGTGGACGGCGGTTTCCGCGTCAGTCTGGGGTTTAGGGTTCAGGAGCTAGCCTGTTCCACAAGTTTCCTGGCAACTCTTGATTAAGTCACTATAGCTCCTCCAAGAACGGAGCCCGTGTTCTTTTTCTTGTTGTGGCTGCTTTATTAACCGGGTGCTCCCGGGCGGTGGGCAGCAAGTGCGGGCGTGAACTCGCGCACCCGCAGCAAAAAAAAAACGCGCCGCGCACTCGCAGAGAAAACAAGCGCACCACCACTGTGGCCCCGCGCCGCGGTGGATTCCGCATGTTCGGCCACAGACGGGCGCACCCGCAACAAGCAAAAAACTAATGCACACGCACCCACAGCAAAAAAAAAAACGCGCCCCCCCAGCCGGAGCCGCAGCCGCAGCCGCGGCCGCAGCCGGTGCAGGCGCAGGCGCAGGCGCAGCCGCAGCCGCAGGCGCAGGCGCAGGCGCAGTCGCAGTCGCAGTCGCAGTCGCAGCAGCAGTAGTAGTACTAGTAGTCGT